TCACGTTACCTCGCTCTGAGGCGTTCCATTTAAGGCTTGAAGTGCAAGCGAGAGCGCGGAACGAGCGACAAAGAGGCACAATCGGCCTCCCCTCCGCGTTCGGCAGCGTTCGACATCTGTCTCTCTCCTACTTGAGTGTGCGATGCGTCCGCGTGGACAGCTGCAATAATACATTTCCATTTACCTCCTTCTCTATATCCATACAAAATATCTATCAAACAAATAAAATTAAAATTCTCTTTTGAAAAATGAAACCATTCCATCAGAATTTTCTTATGACGTTGTCACGTTCAACTATCGTCAGTAAACCGACTTTACAGACAACCGATTTTTTTATTTATTTTCATACAATACTGTTTTGTCAATATCGCTAAGTTGATACAATGCAATAAATTGTTTTTTTTTTGTAGGTGGCACAGCGTTGCCCACCAAAACAAACCTTCAATTGTTAAAAGAGGTGAAAGTCATTTGGTGAGAGGTCTGGACGATACGGAAGATGCTCCAAAACGTCCCATAAGAATCGTTTGAGAAGGCATGACACGATGCGTCCGTGTATGGACGAAATCCACCGCATAGTCTTGATGAACATCGCCCCTTACCACCAACAAAAAAGTTTTATTATCATCAGAAAGTTGATGTTACAATATCACAAACGAATGCTTCAAACGTTCTGGCGATTCCATGTCTGGTAATCTTCATGTTCTTTATTAAAGTATTTTATTGGTACAAAACAAATTAATTGGGGGCATTTCTACATAAAAGAAAACAAAACAAAGGAAGTTCTTGACCTAGACCCAGCGACCATAAAAAAATATCTTACTTTCGTATGCAGTAGCTGATATGATAACGTAGGTATTACTAATTAGATCTTTTTAAACAAAATTACGACAGATATCCGTGTTTACAGAAAAATTTGTTTTATTTTATATATAACGAACCAAAAACACAAACATCAATCCAAATTACGTCCGTCAGTTTGAAACGTTTTAAAGAACATAAAAACATCCTATTTTGATAACTATAAATACATATTTGTTACAAAATTATATAATGAATAAATCAGTTTCAAAACTGAAATACTTATAAGACAAACAAAATCAATAGAGAATCAGTAGACAGAGGAAGCAAGTACGAGACCAAAATCCCTTATATTTGCTTATGAAGGGTCATTTTACAGTACTTTGGTCTATTTTACACGTTTCATTTTTTTATAGGTTCATCATTATCATTAGATGGTCCAGACTGGTTGGACACGTACCTCCACTATTTCCTATCCTGAGCTAATCTTCGNTATTGCATTTTAGAACAACGGCAATCAACATATTACTTCCGTAAAACTGTCCTAGATTTCTAACCTACCTGTAACCTGGTTACGAAGTCGGGACTTGGTTTTCTATCCTGAGTTCCGGGGACCGCCAGAAACACGTCGAATCTGGTGATTCCTTCACTTTCTCGTCCCTGGGCAACTTTTTCACTTAACTGAGCGGAATATAACACGGAAATTCGGTCGAAATTATCTTTGAGCAACTGTGTACACGAAGTTTTTATAATAACCGTGCCGACACTCGAAGAAGACATTTTATGTTATGCCCATCATTACATTCTAAAAATTACATTATACCAATTATTATTACTCGAATGGCATTCAAAATACTAAAATTAAAACCTTAACTGTTAGTTTATATATTTCCGACATGGCCCTCAACCTACAACAACACCTTAAGCAGACATTTTCAATTACTTGACTGCAGCGCCTCTTTTAATCATCAAGTACACTACTTTTTAGATTTTGTTTTTTTTATTAATTGCTATGCAACCATCAATACATCCCTGTGATTAGTTAAAGCTATATAAAATAAAAAAACCATTAACAAAAATACCTGACCATTTGATACAATTTAAAATACTTATGTTTTGAAAATAAACCATCTTTTTATATTATCATATATACTTCGAAAAATTTTTATATTTTTGAATTTCTCTGAATTATAAAACGGTAACTGATTTTTAAAAGATAAATCAGTATTTCACTTCAATAAAAATAAAGAAAATAAAGTTATTTTGTTTTTATTATACATAGAGTATTTACACACGTAATTATTTTTTCTTTTTCTTAAGCAATATCTCATTATCTATAGGTTCAATAATAGTTCCCATTTTAGTCATTACTGCTGGTAAGATGTTTTTCCTAAATGCAGTCTCCGGAATGAATGTATTTCCTACAGGAGCTCTAATGGAGGCTTCGAAATCTTTTACACTTTTAAAAGGAAACGGAAGTTCAGACACTAAATGGGGCTTAATAGATTTTTTGTTGTCCTTTATAATTAGATTTCCTTTTTTATGATCTTTTCGTGGTATATTTTTAGGGAATTTTGAAATGAAACGTTTTCTTTTTCGTGTAGAAACTTTAATTCCTACCCCACCCCACGAACCCCAACCAGGTAGAGTTAAATTTATATCTTTCGGTTTTTCTTTTTCTGTTTCCGCTTTCTTTTCTTCTGCAAAATCGTCGATAATTTTGTCATCTTGGAATGCCTCTGCTATTGCACTTTCTTGGTTTTCTTTTTCGACATTATCGTCATATCCAAGAAGATCGGGGATTCCAGTATTCAAAATGGAAGGTTTTGCATTCATAAATTTATTTGGATCGATGTCTTTTTGATTCAAATTATTTTTGGGGAGTTCTGAACTTTTTTTAGTATCTAGGCTTAAAATAGCATCTATAGAATTTTCTGGTATGTTATCTATACCCTGGAGTATATCCTGATTAGACTTCCTGGAAGTATCCTCAATCATTTTTTCATTTAATTTGGGATATTTAAGTTTCATTGGAAGTGCTAATAAATCTTTTGTAGCTTTTGGATTCTTCACTTTTGTATTGCTTTTCTTTTTAATATTCTTTGTATTCTTTTTGTCAACTAAACCCAGTTGCCTTTTTAGCTTTTTTGCTTTCTGTTCGAGACTTTTTTCAAGTTTAGCTTGAATTATATAAGGCAAGTTATTAATAAGAGTGTCTGTATCCATGGCACTTACTTCCCAATCTGAAGTACTTAAAGATTTTTCCAATTTCTTGGAACTACAACTTATTTTTCTATTGTTAAGTTTTTTTAATGCAAAATTTAATTTACCATCTTTTGTTTTCTTGTTTTCTTTTTTATTTACTACTTTTTCAGAATCCTTTATTAGTTTATTATTACTTTTCTTAGCCACCTGTTTAACAACACAATTATTTGCTTCATTATCATTATTTTCAGTTTCAGTTTCCTTGTAATTGTTAACATTATTTTCATTAAAACATTTTTTTACTTTTGTATCTAACTTTTTACCGTTTTCATTTGTGTTTTTACTATCTATGGGATCAATTTTATTTGCATTTCCTTTTATCATGCCTTTTAATTCTCTATTTTCCTCTTTATTATCTCTAGACTCATTCTCGTGTTTATTCTGTTCATTCCAAAATTTTCGATATCCACTAATAAAATCTCCTACATCCTGAGACACTGTAATTTTTCCGTTTGTCCATGGATTATTTTCATTTGTTTCCGAATTAATTTGAATATCGTGCTCCACTGTTTCCTGTTCTTCATCAGAATCAGTGTCAGCTGCCGACTTCACTTTCTGAGTCAACTCGCGACTTAATTGAAGTTGTTGCGCCAATGCCTGCCTACTCTAAATAACAAAAATTTATAATTAACTAGAAAAAATAAACATAACAAATTTCACTTACTTCTTTGTCATATTTTGCTCTAATTTGTTTGTTTCGCGCCCACTTTCCAGTACTTTTATGACGCAACGTTACGCGTTCTTCAGCCCTTGCTTTCTCAATTTCTTCTAATTTTTTTAGGGCTTCTTCTGGATTTGTCTTTTGTAGTTCTTCAAATTCCTTAAACTCCTTTTTTAGACGTTCCTTTCTTTGTATTCTGTGAAACTTCTTGCTCTTAATTTTATTTTCCCTTTTATTTTTCGCAGCTTTGTAACTCTGAATTGCTCTTAATTTTGCAGTTTCTTTCCTCCTCTCTGCAATTTCCTCCATAGTTAGAGGAAATTTATTTTGTTCTTCAACATTAAAAACTTCAACTTTTGGTTCTAGATTTTCCATTTCCTTCTGAATATCAGATTTAATTCTAAATCTACTCGTAATTTTTTTATCATTAGTCAAATTTATATCTTTTACTAGAGGAAATGAAAGGTTGATAGCAGCTCGATTATGAGTAACAATTGGGTCCCACTTTGTAAGTTCATTTTTTAGATTCTCATACCCAACCGTACGCTTCACTCTATCTTCTTCAGGTTTCTCCAATGGCTTTTCAAGAGTCTTTGACTTTTTATAAAATGTTTCAACTTGCTTTCCAATTTTAGAAAACCTTTTATCACTTCTTAAAGACCTTGCCAAATCATTTAAATAAACACGTCCTTGCTTTCCTGTTAGTGAATTTACTAAATGTAATTCAGACACTACAGTGGAAGGCTCTGTTCTAGTTGCTTTCCTTATGTGTTGCTTGTCGTCCAAACCAATGATATTTTCAATCAGCTTTGCATGATCTTCCTCTGTTATTTCATACTCTTGATCACTAACATCAATTTCACTTTCTTCGCTCATTTTTGTTATAATAAAAACACTTTCTTATTAGTAACTTAAAATAACACGAATATAGCCTACAAAACTTGCAGGATAGGTTAGGATCATAGATAATAGGTGACATTTACGATCATAGATACTTATGATCGTTTCTCATAGATATTTATAGACATTAATAATAGAAAAGAAATAGACTGGAACTGGATACAAAGCAGCTGATGGAAATTTAAAATAAAAGTAATGGTATAAATAACTTTTTCAATTCTGTTTCTCATAATCAATAAAAAATCTTTATATTATTATAAAATTTATATGGATTAACTGCGTGGTTTTTNTACTTGCTGAAAACGAATCCCGGCATAGCCAACCTCAACGTGATAGACACGTTAGCTTAATCGAATAAAATAATTTCGAATTATTTTATTAGTTTACACTGTATTTATTAAAGTTTGGAACACTATGTTTACTACAATAAATATTATCTGATAAAAATAAATGACAATATTAAATTAATTCCACAAATTTCCGATTACTTGTAAAATATAATGGCAGCTTCTTAGAACAGTATATTACCAATGTTCACTTAAATACACATTTGACACGACAGGAATAACATTTAAATTAGCCTGTGATATTTTAGTAATTATCGTAATTGTGATTCCATGTGTGTTATTTACTGATTCGATCATTGTATTTAAATAGGTAAAGGACAGGATTTATCAGTTTTAGATTTTCAAGAATCGCCAACGTTTACAATTCACATCAGCTAAATTCAAGCGCAGGTGTCCATACGAAAACTAATCATTACTTTCACCTGTTATTTGCTTGCTTTCTTTCTTTCACTCTCAACCGTTTAACGTTTGCGAAACGAACGGATTGCGACAGGTGTCTTCAAACGATTCTTAACTACAATGATAATGGGACAATTCAGACCTAATCTGACTTCTTCAGAAATGATTAAAATTTAACTTATTATACAAGATTTTGTTCTAATATCAAAGCGTGGAGCAAGACATTATTAAGATAAATCAGATTGACTCCCAGATTATTGACCACAATGTGTTCCTGTAGGATGAAACACCTTGTCACAAATGTAGAACAAAGCGTTACAGAGGGTAAGAGGTGATCAAAAATAAAAAACTCATGTGCTAACGTATCAAGGTTAGAAGCGTTCGAAATATGGTGTTACAGGCGAATGATGAGGATACTGTGGATAGAGAAGGTTAGAAGTGAAGAGATATTAGAAAGAATAGGAGAACAGAGGACTCTATGGAAGTCTATAACAAATAGAAAAAATAGGTTAGTAGGACACCTTCTCAGGCATGAAGGTATAGTCAGGGACATATTAAAGGTAGAAACAAGAGTTAGGAGGGGTAAATCTAGTTTTAGGGAAATGCGAAGATTAGCTCAGGATAGGAAAGAGTGAAGGTGCGTGTCCGACCAGTCTTAGAACTGACGGCCTTACGATGATGATAACGTATCAAATTAGCACATCATCCGATTTCCCGAGACCTATAGGCTCTACAAAATTAGTTCTTTCACCACAGATTTACTATAAATTACTCGTATGAAAAGATGCAGGGGTTGAACCCTTGACGTGACACACAACGCATTATGCTGTTGTTCTTTCTACTGAGGCATACCTTGCCAAGTGTGAATTATTGTTAGCACATGATTATTTATTGTAGCTGATGCTGTTATGCAATAACGATTGTTTCTTTTTTTAATTTTACAGTTGACACATGTACCGTAAAAATAGATATGATTACAGAAGGCGTGGAGCACAACTCGTGGGTGATCTAATGTCCAACAATGTTATCATCGACTGCATTGTTTCATGAAAGCAAATGAACTTTTGAAATGACCTCAACATTCCCGTAGGTACCAGGAACATGTGGCAAACAAACAAAACCTTAAATGAAAAATACCGATCATTTAGTAATTTCACGTTTCCTTCGTTTTCTCTATTAAAGTCCAAAGGAATTTAATTTAAGCAAACTACTTAACCTAAAAGCAAAACAATCAGTAGACAAAAACACTAAATTACAAACATAAAAAGCAACATTCAAATGCATCAACTTTCAGTTAAAGAAAAGAAAAAACCAGCACCGGCGTCTTTGATACCACGCGACCAGTCACGACTAATTATACAATACATAGAATTAAATACAGATCCATGGACAACGACAATACAAATCCGGGAGTAAAATATTAAGACATTAATGTTAAGTAAAAGTCAACAAACTCAAAAGTGTGTTTTCAAGGGGAGTAAATCAGTGGCGGCTGGTACATGGCATAAGGTCATTCGGATAGTTCCCGAAAGAAAACACGCATGTATCCTAAACCTCGTAACGTTTTGTAAAGATAATAATTAGAGGTGGATCGAGAATTTTTCGGTTGATGTTTATCAGCGATCCCTGTACATACTACAATTAAAGGTATCGAAGGATTTTGTGCTTTAATTCCTAGTTTCTTTTAAAGTGAAACTTCTATATAGACGACGAGGTATTACAATTTTTTTTGTCACGAAAAAGCGTTACGGTCGAGTGGAGAGGGAAGATGGTATATTGCGTGGTGAGAGGTGGCAATGGCGGAGGGCTGTATTAGATGGATATAATGGCCAGTCGCGCGGAGAGTCCTGGCGGCGTGTGCTGTGCTCAGCTGTTATTTTCTTACCACTGCTCTCCACGTGGCTGGGAATCATTCCCTCTATTTGCGGTCTGTGTAAAAACCAAATCATAATTTACAGTAAACCTGTTAAAACGAAATGTGTGCTGGGACACATAGAAGAAGTGAAACTTCAACGGACAAGTGGAAAAAGAATCGCAACAAAATTGTTACTTCAAGTTTTACGGGCAAATTGTTAATGTACTTCTCCAATTTGAAAACCGGACAAAATTTTTACTTGAAGTTTTACGGGCAGGTTTTCAAATTGGACAAGTACATTAACAATCTGCCCGTAAAACTTAAAGGATACATTTTGTTGCGATTCGTTTTTCCACTTCTGCGTTGAGGTTTCACTTCTACCATGTGTCCCAGCACACAATTCGTTTTACGAAGGATTTTATACATTTGTATTGAGATACATATGAAGGAATGTTGGAAATATAAATAATGGAATTTTATAATTATAACCAATATACAATGTGTATACACGTTATATCCTAGACCTATCTAACTTTCCATTTTTAAAATAAGTTTGTTGTTTACAGTTTATTAACATATATGTACAGTAAACATTTGAAATACGCATTGAAAATTAAAAGTCTTTTTTTATGACGCATTTCTAGAATTTAACATTCACACAAGTCGAGAAGTAAATAATAATCTCCGTGTGTGTGTCTTCTATACATTTACTCATTAGACGTGGCAATGACATCCGTATATACAACATGAAAGTTTAAAAATAACATCTATCACAAAAACCTTGTCGATAAAAAGAAATTTTCCTTCATATCCTGTTATATTATTATTTGTGGATTCGTTGCTCTTTTAATAAACACAAAATATGTACATTAAATTTGACGATTTAACAAAAAAAAAAACAGTAGAATAGTGTTGAAAACAAAACCATACCTAAATACGAACACATCTCAAGCACTTTTTACAAGTTTATAGTATAAGGGAGAGACCCTCAAAAATAAAATAAATAGATTTCACCTAACTAACATTTTACATTACTGTTAAAAAAATAGGGAAAGAGTTTCATTCAAATTATTTAAACGCCAGTTCAACGGAAAAATAACTTACTTCGTAGTTTAGCCGAGGAATACTCTATTCCGGGGTATACTAAGTAACTTCCTGTATATAAAGTATCAGCCGATAGTGATGCGGGTATATAGTAATAGAACCCTAAGACCTATTGAAATTACCCCCATGCATACGTAATCCTAAAATGTAGCATCGTGCTACAGATGGCGTTTACTGCGCCATTTGTAGTATTTTCTAAAACGCACTGTTAAGACAGCAGGTAAAAGTTGGTCTGTGTTGTGTCGGAGCTGNTCAAACGCAAGAGGTCATGGAGCAAAAAAGATGAACCGGCTCAAACCATTTCCAAAGCCGATATTCACCAAAAAAAGGTGATGCTGTGTGTTTGGTGGGATTTGAAAGGAATCGTTTTTTTTTTGAGCTTTTACCGGGTAACACAACGATTAATTCGGAAGTCTACTGTCATCAGCTGGACACGAAAAAAAACGAAATGACTTTCCGAACAACCCTATAGTTCAAAATTTAAAGCTCATTCAATTAAATGAATTACCCCTTCCATCACATATCCATTCAACCCTGGAGAATATACCCAGACTGTAATTTATTTCTATAAAAAACTTTTAGTTCAAAATCTCAATATTTTGTTGGAAGAAAAGGCGCTACCTAGTTGACTTAAACCCTAAACTTTAAGATGTTTGCCTGAGAGAGAGGGCAGTACCTCCGGACTACGCCAAAGGTTAAGACAGAAGACCCTCTTCTTGAGGAATCGTGGTGGGTGGATATTGGTTGGGTTAAGAAAGATCAGACGAACGGAATGAATACAGAAGAACGTGGAAGATGATCTGTGGAATGTACTTACTGACATCAGAGCAATAGAGATACTACTTGTTACGATCATGAATTCATTAATCAAGATGGAAAGGAATCGTCAAAGGGACTAATTGTAAGGCGTTGGGTGTTTCATTCTCAGCAGTTCCTTTGCTGGTTGATGAGCAAGCCCTCCGGACCACGCCGTACAGAAGGAATCGTCGAAATGGGTAGACGATGGCTGGGGTGAGAAAGATGAGACGGACGAAATAAATACAAAATAGAGTGAGAGATATTACATGTGGTATATACTCATTGATATCAGAGCGATAGCGATACAACTCGTTACGATTACGAATTCATGAATTGTCATAGAAAGGGATAATCAAAGGGACCTATTGTAAGATATTGGGTGCTTCATTCTCAGTAGTTACTAACGCTGGTGGGTGGGGCAAGCCTTCCGGACTACGCCGGACAGAAGGAATCGTCGAAATGGGTAGATGATGGCTGGGGTGACGGAATGAAGAAAGAAGAGAGTGAAAGATTATCTGTGGAATATTACTGCCTCAGCATTTGCCTAAGTGATCCAAGGAAATAGAAAAACTTGGACA